TGAGATACTCCAGACTGAGGAACGAGAGAAATCAAAATGCATTTGCACTGCGGTCTCAAAATGGTAAATTTTAATTGCAAGAAGATTAGATTATGCCAGTGTTTTCCAAAAGGTTCAACCTGGATTTTTTGGAGAAAACTTACTCTGAGGTTTCCTGTTTTCCTGCAGCGCTGGTGCATGTGAGTGGCAGCATTTGAGAGGGCAGAGTAAAGCTGAACTCTGGTTCTGCAGAGAGTAACGAGAGCTGTACGGAGTGCGGTGCAGGCAGCGTGAGTAGCAGATCGTGCTCTCCCAGATCCAGAAGTAAAGGCAGGGTTTCTCCTTGAAGGCCTGTGTGCACTTCCATAAGATTTGGCAGCCCTTCGTATCCAGTAGAGAATAAACGCTGGAAAAATAAGTGTTCTCCAGAAGAAGGATGTGCTGGGGTGACGTGCTGGAGGAACAGCTGTGGCCAGTAAATCGTTTTCCTATATCTGACTTTCTGCTGCTGCCTCAAACGATGCTCTGGCCGGCTGGTGCAGCCTGTGATCCCCGTCTGGGGACCGGCTTAACTAAAGGGTTACTACAGCCTCTGGTCTCCCTGCCCCGCGAACGCAGGCATTGATCTGAAGGGTGTAATTATAAATGCTATTGATGGCCCGGGAGGGGAGTTGTATGTTTTATCTCTGGCACAGGAATTCGGGAGTGAGTGGGAGAGACTCTTAATTTGTAACAGGTTTTATTTGCGATCTGACTTGTACACAATAAACGGGTAGCGGTGGTATTAATGAGCATCTGAAAGGAGCTTTTTTTTTTTCCCTTCCTACAAGGTGGCACTTCACTGTAGAGAGGCTAAAACTGAAGAGTGGGTATGCGGGGTGTTTGGGCAGCTTTCACCTCTATCTTTAGGCACACAGAAGTTAAAAAGCAACGCTTGAATATTTGGAGAAATACCCGCGTCTGCCAGGTACAGAATGGATCAGCACATTCATAAAAAGCCAGAGAAGTGCTTTTCCACTCCATGATGGTTGCTTACACTGTAGTGAAATGTGCACCATGACTTATTTCTCTCCAATGGCTCTTCCTAGAATTCTTTTGAGACGTGCAGGGAGGAATCTGCGCTTTTGGAACGTACAAAAATGCTTTCAACTGGTATTTCGGTGCTTAAAAAACCTGATTTGATACTTCAAGTTCTCCTTCTAGACCAATAAAGTCTTTGAAGACTTTACTCTTGGACTCAAAAATGTTTATGGAAGTAAAGCCTGAACACATGAGACAGAAGCTAGCCCCTTGTCTGTCAATATTTAAAGTGTAATGTGACTCCATTTCTTTTTTTTTCATGCTGACCAGTTCACTCAGCCTTCCAAAAAGTACAGAAGTTTTCTTATCTCGGTTGTTTGAGGAGGCATGTACAGCGGTAAGGCTAAACTGTAGTACCTATGTCATAGTTTCCATGCCTTAATCTTCTTAGAGAATCCATAGCCTGTCTTACTCTGAAAATGTAATGTTTTAAAAACCCTGTCTTGCAGGCTAAATCTCTCTTGAATTTTACTGGATAATAATTTTTCTAGATAGTGTTGATGGGATTCAGTAACGTTGCTAAAAATGTGGTCCTTATTATTCTGATCTAGAGCTTTCATCATCGTTTCGCAGAGGAAAAAAAAAAAACCTTCATGAGTGACAAAGTAGGCTCTGAGCAAATAGATCTGATTTCTGCTCTGGCAGGTCAGCAAGAGATACTCAGTCCAGTGCCTGTTTAATTTCCTGAATATTTCACTTATGATGGTTTTTAAAAGTTGCTGTATCAGAATGAGACCCGTGATTCTTTTTAAATGAAACATCCAACTTTGGAAAGAAATTGGGGAGTGATAGGATACTAAAGGTTTGGTTTCCTGAGGGGTGGAGGAGCTGCTGCAGGACCCACAAGACGGGCAGCGGATGGTGTCTGCTGTGCTGGCAGAGCCCTCGCCCATGCCCTTGGATGCAGCAGCCGATCACCAGAGCCTGCAGGTAGCTGGGATGGAAGTGCTCTCAAAACTTAGAGCTGCTTGGGCAGAGTTTCACTTCCTAGTATTAACTGTTTAGTTGCCTGCTTCCTACGAGGCTCCCTGCACAGATGCTTTAGAAGTTAATCCTTCAAAATATTTGTATAAGCATTTGAACCTTTTTTCCTTAGCGGCGTGCGCTGCGAAAACAAACTTACCATCTTGGAGATGCAGGAGAAGGCTGAGCCGGCCACGGAGGGACAGAGTGTGGGAGCCAGGGCGGGCCGTGGGGCCTCCCCGGGCAGCTCGTTGCCACCCGCCTGTTGGGTTTCGATGGAAACTTCCACGTGCCGACTGTGGGTCAGCACGAGAGATGGCCCCGGCCCTGCACCGCCAGCGTCCCGCGGCGCTGAAGCGGTTAAACTGCTGTTCTGGTGTCCTTGCAAGATGAAAACTATTTTAGTCCCATGACACGAGCACTATGGGAGTTTAATGCTACAGTTCATTAAAAATGGAGGCTGGCCAGAGCCTCAGAAATACGATTCGGTAGCTTTAGGCTTCCCACGTCCAGAGCACGTCGGAAGGAAGGATCTCTGCTGAACTCCTCTGAAACACGGGGAGCACTCTGACACGAGGGTGCTGCCGGGCTCGTTTGCGTAACCATATTCCTCTTTCTCGGGGGGGGGGGAAACTTTGAGCAAAGCGCAGGCTCCCTCTGTGCTGGAGGTGCCTTGCGTGCCGCCCTCCTGGCAGAGCCGAGCTGGCTTTGGATGGAGCTGGTGCCTGGAGGATCCTCCCCTCCCGCTGCCACCTTTACCAGTCCTGCTCAGCAATTATTTCTCTACCAGGCAGAATAATTCCTTTTTTAAATAATTTTTCTTCCCCCCCCCCAGCAGAGTTAGAACTTGTGGCTTCCTGGTGGCTGCAATAGTGTCGTAACCACCAGTTACCAGGCCTGGCCGTAGCGCTCGACGGGGCCCGGCCGTGGTCGCGTCGTGCCCGCTGAGTTCTGTCCTCTTCAACAATAAAAAAGTGTTTTGTGTCCGGGCCAGGTTGAGTGAGGAGCAGCGTGGAAGTATCTGTCAGGTTTTATAGCACTATTGAAGGCCCTGAAGTAGCTATTGCAATGGTTTTCAATGGGCTTCTAATTAGAAAAGCATTGGACTAATAGGATGAGCTATAATTAGCAAGACCTGCCCTCTAGATAGCTAATCAGGGACCAGAATACAGTTGTATATCCATTCATGCGGTTTCTATATCTGCGCTTTTGTAGCGATTTGTTTAACCTATTGGACCCTTTTGGGGGTGTTTAAAATAGTAACACAGAGAAGACGTACGTGGACAAGACGACCTCCAAGCTTGCTGGAGCTCGGGCCGGGGGGGCAGTTTGATCCTTGGGTGGGCATCAGCCCTTTTCCCCACCCCAGAGAGGAGTTCTAGGAGTCGATGAGCTGTTGTCCTGCCTTCTGGACAAAAGAAAATAACTCTGCAACTTTTTGAGGAGGGAAATGACTCAGTTCTTGGTGGCTTAGCAGAAATAAGAGGCCGAGCTTCCAAGGAGTGGTCTTGGCAGGCAGCGTGCATCAATTACTGTGCTCCACCTCCAGCCCGGGGCTGCTGCCGGCTGCCCCGAGCGCCCACCCCGGCGGCGTGGCGGCATGCTCGGCCCCGAGCAGGACCCACTGCTGGAACTGGGGCTCTTGCCTGGTTCTTCGCTTCGTGCCGTGTCAGAGCAGGCCGGCGTAAGGGCTGTTGGACTCGGCCTGCGCTGCTGGCGCAGGTAACTGCTGATCCAGTAGGATGGCAAAACTAGTTGGTTTTTCGAACTGACCAGTGTACACTGGCTGCGGGTTTCTCCCCTCAGTGTTTTCACAGAGAGGGAGACGGAAGGTTTGGGTATCGTACACTGTATGTACAGGCTCATAAAAGGATTTTTGTAAAGCGTAAGCAAGCGTCAGCCAGCGGAACTTTTTCTGGAGTAAGAAGCAGATAAACACACAAGCATGTTCTTCTAGAATTATTTTGATATGCTGTCCTACAGAATAAAAGCTTCACTAAGAAGTCGTTTCCCCTTTCTTTCTCTGCTTCATGTGCAACTTCACAGAGGCTTCTGCGGGGAACAGTGCTGTGGTCTCGGGCAGGACCGGGAACGGGGGGACAGCTGACTCCATCTGTGTCAGTGGTGTGGGCGGCGGTGATACCCCGCCAAAACCTCCCACTGGGTTTAGTCAGAGCGTCCAGCTTGGCACTAAAACTTGTTCTGGTGTCTTGTAAGTGAAAATACCAAAGTGTCACTAAATTGCTGAACTGAGCCGGTGCGTGAGCATGCGTGTGACCATGTCACATCCAAAGGTGACTCTTCGTTTGCATCTCAGTGTTCCTGCCACTTAAGCGGGATTACCTTCACGTAGGTAGCGCTAGACAAATGTTGCCTTGTTGCCTGCACCTTACTAGCTATTAAAATGCTCGTCCGGGGGTCTGCTGGCTTGTTGGACAAATTAAAAGCACCGAACTTCTTTCTGAAGATGTGTCTTCAGGTGTCCTGCATGCACACATGGACCCGTACTGCTTTTTGTGCAAGAAGTAGAACAGAGAGGGGGCACAGCAACTGCCTTAAGGCTTCCCCGGAGCCGAGTCCTGTGGTACCGGGTGTTAGGACAAGTGCAGGTCTCGAGGAAAACTGTCGGTTAGAAGTGGGAATTCTGCTTTCAGCAGGTGTTTGGGTCAGACCAGAGATAGCAAGAAGCAGTTGGTTTCCTCCTAGCACATTAATGTAAGAAGCAAAGTCTAAAGAAATACAGAGTAAGAAAAACAGTAACTTTACAACATTTTTGCCCATGCTTTTGTTTTTAATCTGAAAGCATTTGAGCACATGCCTGGCTTGCAGTTCCTTTCCTTAACGTAATAGGGTGCAGTCTTCTCATCTTTCACATGGGTCCCAGTGTTTCAGGCCAGCTGTCTCATCAGCGAGCGTGTTTTGGGTGAAGGTGATGGGCCTGTCACCAGCTGTACTAACCAGCTTGTCTCTTCCCTCAGGATCCTCGCTGCAGTTGCTTTCAGCCACTTGGCCTGGTCAGGATCCCACCTGGAACCCATGAACTTCACTGACAGGTAGGATTTGTGAATAAGGTGGAGTCTCATGTGGCACAGACACCCCTTCTCCCCCTCGTTCAGTGCTGAAAATGAGGAGGTGGATGGGAGGGTGGGATTGTCTTCTGGTCTTTTGCACCTTCAGCTTCTGCCTCGTCCAGGAGGACAAAATAGAGCTGCAGAGGAGGTCTGAGATGAAACTCAAATCAGAATTCGGCTCCTTAACCAAAAGTGGCCTTTCATTTAGCACTTCAGCTCCAAAGTAAGTGAGTCTGACTTGTGAAGGGACAAAGTTGTTTCACTTCCTTTTAACTGGGCAGTCACAACAGCTGCACGATATTGTCGGTCTTGAATGAGAGGAGAAGCAAAAGCAAGTACACAGAAATTCCTCCCTTGAAACTTTCTGTATATTTTGATCATTTGTGCAACCTTCAGAAGAAAAATTGTGAATGGAAATGAAATTTCTGCCGATATCTTGTAGCTCTGGCAATGCTCAGTGGTGTAGCTGAAGCGAAGCTCTCTTGCTCAGCTCTCCCGTGTGTGACAGCGCTCACCTGTCAAATGAAGCATTTTATAAATAGCAATTTAAGGATTTACCCAATGTGTTGTGGGGGGTTTTTTGTTGTTTGTTTTTTTTTTTTTTCTCCAAAACATGTATTGCCAAGGCCCCAGTGGTCAATACTAAGTATTTCTGGTCTTTGCTTTTCCTCCTGTCTCAGTTTTCCTGGTGTAGTTGTTGATGTCTCTGCCTGTAGATTGATTCATCTGATTTACCGTGTTTTACCAGAGTCAGCTTCAGAACTAACGTCGTGCCAGCCATCAGCACTGCTGGGCTCTTTGGCTCTCTTTTGGTTCCCAAATCTTGCAAAGCAGTGTCACCTTTCATGAGGCCAAAAGGCTAAATGAAATCATAAAACACCTTAATGACATCAGTCAGAGGTGAAGGAGTTACAGTGAGAGTAGCAGAGAGAATCACGCTTGGATGTATTGACCATAGACGTGGAAATTTCTTCATCTGCTCTCTTGTTCAGTGGGTTTTCACCGTAAAACACCTGAAAACCTGCAGTTGTAGGGCAGTGTGCATAAATACTATCGTATTTTGTCAGTTCAACTTGTTATCCAAATCCTGCAGTCTGAACCATAATCGAAACTGGTACTTAACGGCTCTCCTGCACTGAGGAATCTCCATGATTTTTTTTGGTAATACAAAGCCCAGACATAGTCATTAGCAGACTTCCTGCCCAGTAGTTTCTAGACAAAAATAGATCCGTAAAACTTGGGGGAGAATTCAGGTCAAACAAGGCCCTCATGTAGTGGCTCTAAGTAGTGCCCTCTAAAAACACCTCTTTAAACCCAAAGCAGTGGACCTTAGAATTAATATTAAGTTCCCTGTTAAAGAATTGGACTATCGATAGGTAAATAAGAGAATTCCTTAGTTGTTCAAATCTTTCTTTTGGTACCTTGTCCTTTATATCCACTTACACCAGTTCCCTCTATGATCGTCCTGTGGCTGTATTAAATAATTTATATTGGGTTGAACATGAATCCAGAGCACAGCACTTCTTGGAGAGGAGTGATGCTGAAGCCAGTGTGGATGGTCTGGGTGCACAGAGAGCCTCCCTTCTCTTTAAGTTTTTAAAATGCAGGGGGAAAAAAAAAAAAACAACAAGGAATTGCCTGTATTATAATATGCACAGCATGTGGTGCTGGAAAAGCTGATTGTTGTTGTGACTGAGTATTTAAAGATGCTAATTTTGCTGCTCTTGCATTAAAATAAATGAACCAACCTAGATCCCTCCTCTAATAAGCATACATTAAATGGGGAGGGGGGTGGAAGAAGGGGAGAGCATCTGATTGCAATCTATGGTGCCGTTACTTAATATTTAAATCTGTTCCCATCAAATAAAAGTTTAAATCAAGTTACAGTCCTTTAAGTGCAAGGTTTTATTTTTGAGTCCAAATAAACACTGGATAAACAGTTTTTAATGATGAGTTAATACCTGTGAGGATCGATGTGCCTGGAGAATCCGAACCTCAAGGAAGGGCAGAGTCTCTCACCGAGGTGGAGTCGGACCGTGCGCTTCTCGTAATCGCTGGTGTCTGTTAACAAAATGAAATGACTCTGATTTCATTCTTCTCCTTCGGCCGCCTCGCGTGAGAGTGGTTGAATTCCCCCGGCAAGCTCAGGGGTGACAGCAAACCACCCGCACTCTGAAGCGTGCGGTTCATTCCTGAAAACTGCAGCTCTGGCTCAGGGTCACAGAGCACGGGAGGAGCTGGCACTGCTGTGCAGAGCGAGCCAGGGAATCGGGGTCGTTGTGGCAGGACTGAGAAGTGAGGGGATTTTTTTTTTTTTTTTCCAGGCTGGATTCTTCACTAAAAGAACAGCAACATTAGCAAAAGGTATTTAGGAAAAAAAAAAAAAAAAAAGCAGATTTCTCTTAGTTGCTTTATTATAATATTTTCTAAGATCACCTCGATAGTGAACACTTCTCTGGAGTTCCTACACAAATTTTGCAAGTTAGTAGATTGATTTTTACAGGCAGCGGCTATTTCCCATTTCCACAGCTACACGTTTAATATCATCCATGCGGCACATTGAGCTTTCTGTTAGGAATTGTGAATGCTTCTCTCTTTGTCACACAGAGCCCTTAGACAGTGGTTAGGCTCCCGACTAATAAATGGAGCCAAACTCAGCCACAATAGTGATTTTTAAGATGAGTTGACACAAAACGCTGTGCAGAGCAGAAGGGTGACTCCTAGTGTAGTGGGACTTCAGCTACCAAAGTCCCGTTTCTGGCCAAATACAGAACTTCATGTTTGTGGTGCTCCGAGCTCGACTTCAGCGCCTTTCTACAAATGTTTATCTGTTCATTTTAGTAAATATTTAGTCAAGCCCGGGCTGAATTGCTTCCTACTGCACTACAACGACTGCCAGCAGTTGCACCGTGGGCACTGTGTGTCTTAGTGCCTGGTCACCTGGATGGAAATAAAAGCAGCTTCTGCGAGGCTGGAGGTGCAGAAGGAGCTGCGGGTGCTCCCCTCTGAAGCCAGGAGCAGCCGTGGGGATGTGGTGGCTGTTTTCAGGACAGCGTAGGGTTCTGGTACCCCACATTTCAGGTGTTTTCCTTCAGCGATTTGTTGCGTTGGTATCCCTGGGATGATGCTTTGCTGCTGGTGGGTTGCTCGGGAGAACTTTCCTCTGCTGCCTCCAGATGCCCGACACTCGTGGCACAGAGGAAACTTCTGTTGGGCTCTGTCTCTTTTTAATTGCAAGTACTTAACAGTCCTAAGCAAGCTCATTTATTTTTCCTCGAATGCTTAAAAAAGGGGGAAATAATAATACTAGGAAAAGAGGGAGGCAGGACTGCGCAGCCGGGAGGTGCTGTGGTGGCCGGCTGGCGTGAGCACATGCAGCTGAGCAGCGTGGGAGCCCGGTGAGGGAAGGGTTAAGGGCTGCCATTTTGTTATGTAACACCCTTAATGGACATATCAGTGAATGGCACCAAAATGGCAGGGCTTAACCCTTGGTGGGCTGCAGTGCTCAGCCAGCCAGGGGCTGGGAGCCTCTCCCCCCCTGGGAGCAGGGAGTGGGCTGCGAGCAGGTACCCTCCTCTCGTCCCCTCTGCTGGAGGGGGCTTCAGCACGTGCAGTTTCTTCTTCTTTTTAGGTCTCGTGGTATGGAAATCATGGCTGAGATAGCAAAATGATCAACCCACCTCTGGATGCTCTCATGCTTTTTGTTGTCTTCATCAGGCAAAGGATGGATTTTTGGTTGCCCAGTTGAATTCAGATGCGGGATGATTTTTTTATTTTTTTTTTTTCAACTTGAAGAATAACCTGTGTTCTTGTCCTACTGCTGTTGCATTAGTTTAGTCTTTAAAAAAAAAACCTCTAGTTCTTTGGCTTTCCAAAGTTTATTTTTCTAAACATCTACATGATAAGGCCATGAACAGCTCAGTGTGTGCATGTATATGCACGTTTACACGCGTGCACATGTGAGTACACGTGCACACAGTGGTACACAGACACACACACAAATATAAATTACTTTTTCCAGGGCATCTCATTTATGGCTTACATCCTGCTATGAGAAATTGATTTCTAGGCATCGTGGGGTTGGTGCGTGCGGCTGATCCACGGTGACTGCGTGGGCTGCACTTGCAGGAGGCCTCTCTGCTGCAGGTCTGTCCTGGGTGCCAGGGACTCTTCAGAGTCAGTTTTTGATCGACTACCTTTAGAAAAAACTCACTGAGAAGCGTTGGATGTCTCTTAACCTCCCTGTTTCTTTTTTTTTTTTTTTTTTTTTTTTTTAGGTGGGTTTTTTTTTTAGGTTTTTTTTATTTCCACACACACACACCCACCCTTTTGCTGTAAAAGTTTCCAAATCATGTTAGGGAAGAAGGGTTGTTGATCTTTGCTTTTGGCTACCAAAAAGAGCTATTATCACATAGCTGGATGGGTTAGTGTGTGGCTGCAGTGGCATTCGAGCCCGTCTGCAGATGCTCTGTGCTGAACCCATATCTGCTGCTGGTGCTCACCAGCACGGCTGATGATTCTACCAAAACATCAGGATGTAATTTTAACTTCAGTCCTTTTAACTTCAAACCATCAAGTTGTGCTAAACAGTGAAAAGTAAGCAGAAGTACTTCTCCGTGAAAGAATTACTTGGAGTTTGTACGAGGAAGTTATAAATCATGAATGGGAGAGGAGTGAGGAGGTAATGTGGATAACTCAGAATGGGATGTGGGGGAAAGTGGAAGTGTACATTACAAACAGCAAGCAAAGTGTGCTGCACTTTTTTTTAATTTTTTTTTTTTTTTTTTTTTAAAAAAAAAGTGGCTTTGTCTTTATGTACCATGTCAGGGTTCTCTGTGTGCATCAGACCTGTCCTGGCTGCCACCCCACTCCCTGGTCCATGCCCTGGTCAGGCAGCACCCGGGTGAGCTGGGCATGATTTCTGCAGCTGCTCGGGCTTATTCCAGGCTGGACTGTACGTCTGGAAAAATCAGCATCAAGTA